ATGTGTCTGGATAATCTGCTGCTCCCTGCCCCCTCCCCATGCCTGTTGCTTTCTCCCTCCCCTTCTTATGAAGGAGTGGTTGAGCGTGGCGAATGCAGATGGAACGAAGGTGGTTTTGGGAAGGAAGTTGAAAGAATCCTGACTATTAAGGATGGGGCAAGCAGGTGCTGAAATTTGTGAGCATGCCGAGATTAGACCGGACCACCAAGTAACTCTAGAAGGGCATTTGGAACAGTGGGTGATAGCACATTTGCTTCAAGGATGGGGGGGCCTTACCTCTGAAAATCAGTGGGGGGTGGGTTCCCTGATATTCCTCGGTTGCAAGAAATGAAGAATGACAGTAGCCTGGTTGAAAGTGGCTGCGTTGAATAACCATGAGGTTTAGCTCTTTGTATAAAGTGCAGTAGGGGAGCAGCCACGGGTTCAGACTGCTGAAAGTAAGAGGGATGTCAGGCTATTAGGAGAGATAATAACTGTTGGCAGAAGATATTTTCCCCCTATCTTCTGCCAACAGTTATTTCTCCTAATAGCCTGGCATTCCCTTCTTTCCGTGCTTTTCAAGAGACTGGAGGGTGTTGTGCCAGAGAAGAATGAAGCTTGTGACTATCAAACTACACAGGATGGGTGGGAGATGCAAGAACCCCAGAGGATTAGATTCATGGAGGGAAGATCTCATCATAGTGCCTCCCTTTGGGGCATATTATCTCAAAAATTGCAGAAGGCACCCTGCGCTTTGTGAATGCTTTGGTTTTTTTAAATTAAATACCAACCTCGGAAATAAACAAGTAGACAAAGGAAATAGACATGCCATGCTCTCCTATTTAAAAAAAAAGAGAGAGAGGATACCAGAATGAAAGGATGCTTTTTTCCCTGTCAATGGCACAATATAGTCCTCATTTAGGAACAATTAGGATCAGCAACTTGGTTGTTCAGCGAAGTGTCTTTAAGTGCTTATAGTCTTACTTTAGCTTTCTTTTGCTTTGTAGGCCTGCGAAGGGCAGAAATGTGATGATTGATCACAAAGTCCTTATTTTATCACCTTTGTAACTGAATGGGTCGCTGTTTGAGACAGATACTAAATGAAGACTACCTGTAGTCTGTAGTACCTGTTACCTTCTTTTGATATTTGAAAATCTATTCCATTGTCTCAGCTATTTTAGACCTTTTCTCTGCTCATCTGCTTAACTGGTCCATTTCTAAGATTAGGCAAACTGATTTATGTACATGGAAATTGCAATTTGATAACTTGAAATGTTATATATATATATATATATATATATATATATATATATA